TTAGAGTAGAGTGAAACCAAATGACTGATGAGTGTGTGAATTGCGCGTGTGGCACCAGGCACCATCAACCAACCATTCAGTCAGATATTAAGCATACCTGGCATACGTATCGGTCAATTGTAGGTCACAAAAACCATGATGAGCTGCGCTGTGTCGTATAGAGCGCCAGTTTTCATCATTATGTACGCTACTGGATTATCGTGGATCAAATTGGCTGTGATTTTTCAAGATAATTTCTCTATCGAAACTGAATTAACAAGCAAATGTTCTCTGTCTCAACTCAAGTTCCTTCCAGAGTTATGATAGTTCTTAGTGACCTACGTTTTATTTCTTTCAGCTACCGAATGAATGTGTCCGGAAATGGACAGACAGCAGTCTGTCAGAATTTACAAAATAGTATCATCGCATTTTTGGATCACCCAACTGGCAATCTCAACAGTCCCATTCCAACCCACGTGAGCCGCTGGGGCAATTCGACTGCGTGTAATTTGGATGAATGGTTACCGATCAAAGCTTTAAATTCTTCTGTAACACCGCAGCCGTCACTGCATGCTGGTCCCCGGTAAATTTTGTTTCGGCTGATGAAGCTCTGCTGGATGCATGACGAACTTTCGGACATAACTGGATTTCTGAATCCATGTAATAAAAAAAATGCTTTTCTTAGTTTTATAACTTGGTGTGATTCACAGCAGTCGGATTGAATCTCTTGCAGTCACGAGAACCGTGAAGCTATAAATACCCTGATCCGTTCGCACTCCGACTCGAGTACCAAGTACCAACAGACTGGGAGCCAATACCCGCATTCCTCAGTTGAGACCCAACAACTGCTCAGACGCATGGCTAAAGCTATTTAATCTGATTTTATTGTTTTAGTTTATGCGAGTCCACAGAAATTCAGGTCCGTTTGGTGATCTTGTGGTGCTGTGTGATTCAGAGCTGTATTGCGTTCCATATTTGATTTTGGACATTTCAGCAAGTAACTTCCTCGGAAGAGTGAACTGTTCGACAGGAATAAACTCCGGGGAGGGATCTACGTGACGCACTGATGTCGTCGCCTGGCGTAATCCGTACTGAACGCGGATCAGTATGCAGAAGTTCATAGAAGTATAGATTTTTGCTTTGTGTAATATTATTATACCGTGGTTTGCTTGCACACAGTCTGTACTCAGACATATATGTCTGTTTTCATTCATTGAATTCATTTTTTAAACTATCTAACAATCATGGGAGAAAAACTTGTGTAGAATAAGCAGGAAATCCGAGTTTGACTTGCAAACGGGGAAATTTCATCTTGTACAGAGCATAGGAAGCACTTTGTACCTGTTTCTTTCCGGTTAGGCCACATCAGTGATGCTAATGAACCAAACCCAATCGAGGGTCGAACCCAGAACCTCACATGCATACGGATGGCATACTACTCATTTGACCAACGAACAGATAATGAAAACATTTTCCATTTTGTCCATACACAATATGACACAACTAACTTTTTCAAGCTCGATACCTCGAGTATCTCAGCACGATATTCCTGAGGATTATAATTCGATCGTAATCATTCACAACTATATAGACTACTAGGTAGAAGAGAAATATTGGGTTCGACTACGTTGTGAATTTCATTGCGTGCACTGAAACGCAAATCCATCCATTTGACTAGGGATCGTCAGCCAGGGACCTCACCGGAGTAGAACGGAGAATACTACCAATTTGGCTTTATCGTGTACCAGGTGAAACAGTTTGATCGGCTGCTCGGTTGGGCAGTCTTGTGAATTCCGTGCCTATTGTGTTCATCGTTCATCTTGATATGTATTTGTATGTATATTGTGTGTTCCCGAATCCGCATCCGCTGTCCCTTCAACAAGCCTTCTTGCGTATGCTCGGTCCTGAACTTTTATATTGCCAATGCTTTATCTGTTTGCCTGGCTCAAAGCTTGATTTGTTTCATCTAGCTTCACGTGTTGATCTTCTTCAAGAAGAACAAGCATTGACTGACTGTTTCCTCCGACGTTTTTCCTGTGCCGGCATGGGTCGATTGTCTGGATTTTTCCGGTATTTTATCTTTTTATCTAAGGCTTATCTGGAATCCAGTTATGTGAGGAGCTCGTTCGCAAAGCAGTGGTATGATTCTGTGTACATTCTGCGCGTAGGTGATATGAAGATCACTGAGTTTAGCAAAAATGCCAGTTTCCGATGTTTTCGAACTAAATGGTATATGATGAAACATATTTGAATCGAAACTCGCCTGGCTTGGTTTTCCCGGTTTTACTGGTGTTCGAACAGCTTCCCTCAGTGCGTAAATCCCCTTTGCTGAGAACGATTCCAATAAACAGTGGGTGATTGATTGAAAAGGAAAGGGGGAGTAGTCGTTCCACTATGGGACGTCAATTCCTTTCAGTTTCCATCATCAGATAAGCCATTTTATGAATCGACTACCAACCTAGTTAGTGGTGGCTTGTTCGCATTCCCTCAACCAGGCTTAGGCGTGCAGGTTGTTGAATAATGTTTTGGTATATATATGTATAAGAGGTCTAAATTAAGGCAAAGTGTAGGGGATAACCGCTTCACAGCATAGTTAGCCGTCAATGAGCCTAAAAAGTATGCTTGAATGTCACGACAATACAATCAGTTTGTATTTTCCTGTTTTGATCCAACTTACAAACTGAAAATTACGTATTCTTTGATATACATAGATTTACACTTGTTCTCTATCATGATTTGAGACCGACTTGGTTATTCCTGTAGGCTCTTCTTGACATATTTTGATGCAGAATCGTGATCAAACAAAGACACGCAAGCAGACCCTTTATTTCTTTACCGGAAATTCCAATTTCAGGTCGTGTCACAATATTGTAATTGGACAAACAATTTTGTTTATCTACGCCAAACGTGGCCGAGTTTACAAACCCCAAAATGAAATATTGGCTATTTCCAAGGTGTATCATTTGGGGACCATCAAATTTAAGGTGAGAGAGGGCGTTTTTATCAAACTGAATGCTGTTCACATCCCCAAGTTTTCAGTATGCACAATCGATTTAAAGTTGATAACTTCTTCAGAGCACTTTGTCTACCACCACCATTTTTTGGGTGAGACGGATAGCTAAACGTCAATGAGGTTTTTATTTGAAAATGCTGCAACATCCTACATAAATTTGGGATCGTTTTGAAAAAGCAGCTCGTTTGATCACCACTTCTGAATTTCGTTACTGTATACCTGTGCTTACTTCAAAGAGGTTGACCCATTTCGTATTTTCTGATTAGTTTAAGCATAGACAAAGCATGAAGGAAGGATGCCAACAGTGAATTCCCTGAACGTTCTCATTCAATAGACAGCTATGGCGAAGCGAAGCAATCTAGAATAAGCTTCTTCAGATTCATGATATTCGCTGGTATGCGGTTTGTATGACGTCGCAAAACTGGCTTTTTAGCGTCAATAATTTGCATCCTTATTGTTAGGTGAATCCTTTAGCTCTATGTAGTCCTCTCATCTCGACCGCGAGGTAACCAATCACAGTGAAGTTGGGGATTTGTACTGTCTTGGCTTTAAGTTCCTACCCATTTTCGATGATGGTGTTATCGTTAGGATTTCCATCTCTCACCTGCAGCCTACCTACGATAATGATCTAAACCACTCGATCACTATTCACGATACAAATATCGGTTCTCAAAAGCGAAGAATATATATGCCAATCTTTAGGAATACGGTGCAAAAATAACCATGGGTTGAAAGTGTATACAGGAACAGAACAAGGGGAAAACAAAAGCGGGCAATTTTGAGTAAGAGATAATAACGTTTTTGTTTGCCTACTGTACGTTACTTTCACCGCTATTTTAGAGGGGATAAAGTCAAAAATTAATTTTTCCATAGCCCTAGATTCATCGTTCGTTCTATCCTCTCATTGACAACTATCAACGAAACAATAACATATACCAAGTGTGAATATAGGTCCACTGGGTACCGCTCACGAAATTCAAGTCTTGTTGAAATTTAGGAATTCCGAGTGCGGTTCTAGGCGATGACATGGATTTTCGCGCGTATGGTTTTGATGGATTGGGGTTCTCATTTCACGCCGACATTGTAATTCAGTCCGAAAAAGGATATTTTTTTCCTTCTCGTTCCACAAATTTATCATTTTTAGCTTTACGTTGTTCTCCACTTAAAGGTGTTTAATAGTATCCGTAATTTGTTATGCTAAAATATTTTCCGAATATTGACCATTCAATAGATCCAAGCTTCATGCATTTAGTACCAAACTCTTCCATCGACGCTAAGGATTCATTATACAATAACAGTATGATTCTGATTATGGGGTCTGATGTTTTTATTGTAAGTCAATTTTGGCGTGTAAAATAACTCGACACTGCGTCACAAACTAAGTGGCAATTTAGCGTTTTATTTTGCATAAATGGTTTACACGATCACACGGAATGAAGTTGGATGATCTCCTGCTCATATAGAGGTTTCAGTGTACACTCATACCTGAAACCCTTTGATTTTATCCATGATTCGCGCGCAAAGTCGCACTGTATGTGCCCCCCCCCCTGTTGTTTACAACAGTACCATCCACTAGCACATTCTATAGTTATCCAGTGCTTTCCACAACTTGCGACCGGGAGATTAAATTACTTACTCAAACCGTGCATTAAGGTTTAAAGCCCTTTAAACATTGATATATCCCAGTTAAGACCGAGTGCCCTGACAGACCTGTCACGCATCCACTGTTACTCTTACCTGGTATGTGCATTTGGTTGGCTAGTGCATGCGATGTCTGATGTCATACGATAGCGATTAACAGCCATGGATGCTTGCGATGCACAAAATAAAAAGTTACATATGCTGATCAATCGCAGTTATGCAGTTATGTGACTCACCATAAACCAAGAAAATTTTCTCGAATTCTCGCGGATAACAACAGGGAACCGGTTAGAGCAAACCTCATCCCATCTGCTTATCTGGTAAGCCCGGGTCGGGGTGGTAGTGATGCTCAATCATTATTTTTTTTGTCATTAAGATTACTACCATTACTACTATTACTATTATTTCTCTCACCATACAACTAGTGCGGTGGCCGTTTCTGCACGGCGAACAACTTGGATCTGGAGCAGACCATGCCGATTCAGACAATCGTTCGATTTAAAGACATCAGTTTACCACCGAACTGGCAACCAGATCGTGCCCCTGTGGATGAAGTGGATCAATTAACCGGTGACTTGTACTATCCGTTCCAAGTTGAACGTAAGGCCAGTTGGATGGTGTGAGCGATGGCTCTCGGGATCACCGGTTTTCGGCACTTGTATAAATTACCACTGCATCCACGCACACAAACACACACACACAGATTTATGCCATCGTGAAATAACAAATTCCGTTCGATTCACTCATGCTCCGGAATGAGCTATGCACGTTCCGTCCGATTCCCGAGGTCGGATCGACCTGGATAAAATTCAGTTGTTTTCTATCCACTGACACTGAACGCACACACCACGACAAAGTTTTCACTCACAACCGTTTCTCATGTTTCGCAATCCGCTTTTTTCTAGCTGTGATCACATTTCATCGAATAACAAAATTGTTTGGTAATGCAAACTATGGTTTTGTCTTTCTTATGACTCGCCGAAACCAACACGAAAGAGAAATCTTTTTTCAAAAGGCTATTATTTGAAACTTATTGATAAAAACAAAATTCACCTGAACATAACAACCGATGATTAAGTAATGTGCATGAGGAATGATGTCCACGCGGACTTAGAAGCATCCTAATGCGTGGAGACTAAATAAAATTGCAATCGTTTAATAAGGGTGTGTCCAAAACTACTGATTTAAAACAACCTAAAATGCATTCCACTGGTGGGGAACTAACGATCCCCCAAGGAGTGAAACCCACACCCAAGACCATCAAGAGTGCCTGGTGCCTCTGAACAACCGAATGGACTAGTCCAAGCTTGTTACTTTACAACTCTACAAAGCATGTAGAGTTTTACATAGAGATTTTACTTTCGACACAGATGAAGGCTACCGACGACAAATGAAAGTCGCTTCGTCTTACCTTGACACCTTTTCACTTGTTGTATTGTCTATACTATGTTGAAAGTAGTCTCCGGATCGACCTGATACTTTGCTATCAACAGATGTAGCACTATAGGTATTGAAGGAGTTTTTTGCGCCTCTAAATTTTATCCCCAAGCGACGATGCTATCTGATGTTGAACCCGGGAGGAAATGTGCTCTGTGTTGTCTTCTGTACGAAAACGTCCGACTGACACCAGCGCCTTTTGCTTAACTCCCAACAACAATGCGGAGCGAGGACACGAGTCGAGACAAAAGTCATATATTATTGGATGATTAAGGGTTCCATGCGCAAATATGTGGGGTAAATCAGGCATTCTACAATGGTACAGTGACGTGCAAATCAGATCGCGTCCTTAATATTCCGATCGATCGATCGATCAGACAACCCCTGGCTGATTCGTTCTGCAGTCATCCAATCCGGACTCGGCTAGCCTTTCGCATCGCGAGCGTGCTTAAATAATAATTAAATGTCTTCCTACTTACTTTTCTATTTATTGAATATGCAAATGTACAGTTAACATTCAGGAAGGTTGATCGCGGCTATACAAAGGCTGCTTGGGAAGACGGGCGGCGGTGGAGTGGTTCGAACCCGGGACTCCTAAGTCACAAGTTAGTGACCGAATCACTTGGCCACCACCGCCTTGTGGCGTGAGGCGGATGCGTGCGCCGCCTGATGGGTTATTTGAGCTCCGTCCGAACACCTCCCACTTTTGAACCCGTCGACTTGTAGGATCTTAACCTTGGGTTCATTTTTTTATTACACTGGTGGGTGATGGACAGCAGACAGTTCGGAACCCCATAGTCACGAAGACCTACTGTTCAGTGATGGTAACCGGCAACCGCGGTCCGGGGACTTGGAGTGACGAACCACATAAGGCCCCTCTAGGTCAGGCGTGGAATGGTACTAATTTCGTGCTCTTGCGATCCATCCGTTGTCGAGACTGCTAGGACCGTTCTATCATCGGTGAAGATGTTGGTATTGTTGACTCATGATTGGTGACTGGTGCCGTAAATAGTCCATCAATATGGCCAACGACAGTTTAGGTTCGGGATTCGGTTCATCATTGGAGGTGGTCGAATTTTAACAGGTTGGCGTGCCGCACCCACAGTTCATAACCAATTAAGATTTCGGAGATCATTTTAACTGGCGTCGATGTACTTGGCTGTGTCCACCTTTCGGGATTCCCCCGGCAGTCCCTCACCAAAACTTTCCGCTCCCTCACAAACGATCGGTCCTGCGTAACATGACCCCGGTTGAACTACAGCTGTCGGGCAAGTGATTTCCAGGGAGTTGTTGCTGTATCGCTCCGGGAGGATTACCTCAAATGGTATACGGGTTTTTCTTCCAAACATTACCTCGGTCAGGCTGCTTTAGTTTAGTAGAAAAATTTCCAGTTCTTCTCCGTGATTTCACGAAGAGTTCGGCCCAGTTATGCAGTTTCTTCATTCTCCTCATGCTAGCAGCTTCCCAATGCCAAATTAAAAATAACGGAACCGATTAGATTTAGCGTGAGATGATAGGTGCTCTTCGATCGGTATTGTAGCTATCCGGATAGTTATTGATTCGGATCACCTACCCTTCAATCTCCATCATCACGCACAATCTCCAGCTTTTCCATAGACTAGGGAAGGATCAGGTTTGTGTTTTGTTTTCACTATCATTGGTGTGTTTACATCAGCTCAAACATAGAGTTTGGACCTTGGGATCCTCGTCTGTGTGTGTGTGTTACCTACTCCTATGCAACCTGGATCGCACTCAACCTGACCGGAACTGCCGAGTTAGGTTCCGTCCCGATAGGGTCGTCCGTGACAGTTAATCGTTTTCGTGCCAAACAGAAATAGAAGGAAGCCAGTATGTTGTCAAACTCAACTAGAAGTGTCCGGAAAAATAAAGTATTTCATGCAGGAATATGTAGACGGCAAACTAAGCTTGATTATCAAGTAACATTTTGTATACACACATCTTTATGTCAGTTTTATTCTTGATTCTTTCCGAGGGAAGAAACAACCTTTGGGTCAGCAGAACTGTGAACCGAGTGCTGGTGTAGGATGGATACTTCCCGGGCTATCATTTTCTCATCAAATTTGAGTTTCACTTTAAAGTCCATTCGAATCACATTAAATTTGATTGAAGCTAGTTTTCGGTCGATGAGATCATCCAGAGCAAGGATACCTGACTTATACACACACTACTCATCAGTTAAAAGAAGTGCTGTTACTGTTACATATCCACGAGGCAGTGCCGGGACGAAGAGAGTAAGGGTATCGATAACTTCGAGTACATGCAACAAAACGTATCATATTGAGCAGGTCATCATAATTCCCACAAGCACGCAGGACAGTCAATGGAACGACCCAGCAGTAGATGCGCATTTTCTATAGTTATAAAATTAATTTCATTAATTCACTAGCGAATTCCGTGGGAATCCAATGAACGCTTCTTCGTGCGTGCAAACTACTCACAAGTGTCAGCAGTACTTCACAACAGTACGACCACGGGGCAGATGGCATTCAGCCGAATTCACCGTCCGATGCCTGGAGGAATCACGATAGGGACTATACGTTATGAGTACGAGTGATCATCATTCATGCACTTGTAGAGCTGAGCAAAACTGAGAGATAGTCGAATGCCCTGTCACAAGCACGTGACTGGAAAAAAATCAATACACTATCTCGTGTGTAGAATAGGTGACTACTTGTGATCTGCGAGCAATACTTGCTTCAATAATGAGTAGCTCAAGTAGAAACATGAGACATTATACACGATGGTAATTTCATTCTCGAGTAACTTTACACTTCCAAACATATATGAAGTGTTCAGTGACTTTCTGTTCCATTCCAAGATAAGTCATATCTCAACGACCACCCACTTGGAGGACATAATCCGAGAAATCGTGTTCCTACGGCTTTCGGAAGCTTGATAGAATAACTCAAGCAAATTTACTTTTCAGGAAAAGGATACGATTTAAAACATTGGGTTTTGTGTTCCATGGACATTGTTCATATTGTCCGATCCAAGAACCAAAAATCTGATCACATTTTCTACAAAACCGAGCAAATACTACAGTACCAGTGTAGTATTTGGGGTTTCCTGTTTCTCAATGATGGTACCATGCCTTGTATTCTATCGCATAATTACATCTCGCTTAAGTTGGATGAACCTCGGTGAAGAAAGACCAACTGGGCATCGTTCTCGACGCATTCAATGGTTTGCATCGAGAACAGAATAAAGCGAACAAAGCCGACACCAGGCCCAAATATCGAACTGTACTGTGTTGTAAGTCAGAATGTTCAGTCGAAGGCATCACTGACCTTCAGTTTCCGAACTGAAGTTTTACGCGTTTATTCACCACTCGATCACTCCGGTGGTTTAGTCGCCTTCAGCGGTGTGCTTCAGACCGTATGACCTGAGGTTCCAACCAAATCTGGTGGTAGGCAACTTTTCTGTTGTCCGGTTCAACACCGCACGTAACCTTGCCGGGCCTTATGCAGTTTTCCACTCCAAGTCCTGCAGGACCTAGCTAACCGGTTTACATCATTGAATAGCAGATCCTCGTGACCATGGGTTTTAATGCGTCTATCGTTCATTACACAGAGGCGTGTAATAAAAAACACTGAGTGACTGCGTGGACTGAACTCCTGTGCTGTCTACCAATACCTAAATAGAAAGGACTGTTGACCGTATTCATACCTATATAAAAACGTTGAGAACAACAGTGAAGCAGACTGATGTTCAGTTCACACTTTTGGAAGAAGTTAACGTCCGCTACAGCGAATAGTAATACCGCAAAGATACCACTCTCTTCCCTTGATGCGGAGCATAAACGTTTGCCCTAGAGAACAGTCTTTATCAAATGATTGGCTACCATGCCCGCATTCTTTATTTTTGTTCTCATCTCTAACCAAAACTCTCATCGAAGGTTCACAAAAGTACTTGTCCCCGTTCAGTACAACTCACATAGGGATGGGAGGGGGGGCGAAATCTGATCCCATGCCTGTTAGCACAACCCGCCCCCCCCCCCCCCCCCCCAAGTCAATATTCCAACCCTATTTCCGCTGACCTTCATGAATGATCTGAATCCGATCCTTAATATGTTCAAACATAATACCTCGATTTTTCATTATACCTACTGATTGCTTCTAAGGCTCCAGCGGATTATAATCTGGTCTATACGGTGGAATATCTGAGACAGCACATCAAACTGCTCGGATGGTTTTAGCCATGGGCAATGGACTGCAGCACTGTCCAGACCGTTTCAGTAATCCGCAGTCCATTTTACTGAGGGGGAGATTTCGTCTCGCACACACAGCACAGAACAAAAAACAACCGCTAGGTGTGCATTCTTGGTTCGTACCAAAGTTCCCATTCATGGACTGTCTCGTTGGATCGTATCATCCAAATAAACTGGTAGGTAGGAACTGCCAAGCTGCTTAAATCACTTTTTATTCACTATCTTTCCGGTTTCCTTCGACCGGTGAAATGTAAGAATTCACTGTTCGTAGGACTAACAGAAAGACGAGCGACGAAGGACATGTGAATCAGAATCAATTATCATTTTATTTCATCCAAAGTAATTATGCATTTAAAATATTGAAAATGGGTTCTCGTAGCTCGGGTGAACTGAATTCCTGTTCGCCGAGCTTGGCAATTTGTTTGCAAACGTTTCAGAACAGGGGACGAAAATAGCCGGTGGAGAAGAACGCATACATAAACGAACGGGTACAGGCAGAACACTGCCACTTCACAAGCACTGATGTCACCTCGGCTGGTGATGAAACATTTGCAAACAAATTGTCAAGCTCGGCGAACAGGCGAAATGGTAATTATACATTCCCCTATAGCAGTGAACACGGTTCCTTTACGAACTTGATAGGGATATTGGGGTTTGACTCTCTGTCCCACTTCGAATTCATTTAAAATATCTGCGCTGGTTATTTGTTCTTCAAACTGCATCATTGATCAGTCTAGGCTTCCAAAACGAATGAGTTCGTTTGTTCACTTTAGTCGATTGCCTCTGTCTTTTCTGCCAATACTCTCGCGAAACTGGCGCTCCCACTTACACAGTGATTGGGAAAAAGATATTTTGCGCTCAATGCACAGCTGCTCACTCGGCTCAAAGGCGAGTTCCGAGTCACATAAACGGGTCGAAATTCCAGATGTGATGACAGCTTATGCGATGGAGAAGTGTCGAAAGTATTTGTATTCCCCAACCGAGCTACGGGTGCTAAAGTGCAACCAGCGACTACCAAACGATAGACAAAGGCTACTAACTGATGGGCAATGGCTATGAAACGACGGGAAAACCTTTTGAGTCAACCATACACTCGGGAAGCACTAGACCCTGGATTTGCTTTAAGTAGAGCTCACCTCTGTAAGCACATTTTCCTAACTTGTATCCCTCTCAAATTTCATGAGAAACTTGCAGTTTTTGGCACTATGGTCCTAGTCTGCGAGTACGGTGTGTAATTAAAGTTACAACTGTCCACCACGGCGGAAGCACCATCCAGCTAGGCAGACGTTACCGTAGCCACATCGGGGTAGCGCAGAATGTGTCCAAACGGCTACTGGTGTGTGCACAAATCTGTGTGGTGTGCTTCAGTCGGAAGTTGGTATCGCCACCCAAGCACCAGTTGCCAAGTTTTGCAGACGTACAGCAAGATAGGCCAGTGTTGAAAAGAAAACCATAGTTTGATTTGGTTTCTGCCGCCTAGCTGCCGTATATGAAAAATGCAATTGAATGAATGATATGACTCTTCCTTTATTCAAATCCTTCTACAGGTACCACAAGTCACGAATGACTATAGTGCTCGACGTAAAGCCTTTTGGTTCCGCTTGCGAAAGTGCTGAAGGCTTTTTCACTCTATCTCTCGCTCTCTCGGGCGACTAGTCAAAAGCTTCACTTGCATAATGCCCTATTGTGATTTTTTTTCTATTACACATATTTGTGTGACAAACAGAAGACCAGCTAAACCCCAGTCACTAGGACCTGCTGTTCAGTGATGGCAACCGGCAACCTAAGCCCCGGAACTTGGAGTGGCGAACCACATAAAGCACTGCTAGATAAGGTGTTCTATTGAACCGGACGACAGTAAAGCTGCCTACCACCAGCGTTGTGTGGCGGAGCTCGAACCTCAGACCGTGGGGTTCAAATCGTGCCGGTAACAGTGACTAAACCACTGCACCAGTACCACCCCGATGGATGAGATGAACAGAATATATCGCTTGTCGGCCGTTGGTCTCCTGAGCGCAGTTAGTCCAATGACACTGCATCAGACGCTTGATTATTTTGACAAAGAACAGAGCAAAAAGTGGTTGCAAGCATTTGTGCCTGGCGGAAATAGATATTTTGGTTGTTGTGGAAGCTAGGAAATTACCGTGATATTACTCGAGGATCGGCCATCGTGTACGTGAATATGTGCAACTATCATTATGCTCACACAAATTATCCCATTAACAGTGAATGATGGGCATAGAAAAAATAGTTTGGTTGAATACGAGGGGTGGGTGGGTGGGTATGATACATTGCAAAGCAAACATGAACAATATATTGTGTATTCACCAAGTGCATGGGAAAGTAAGCTGGGAGAAAAACGGAAGTGGATAGTGGGTGTGCACTGAAAAAAAAAACAATATAAATGGCAATGTTCGGATAAGGTTAGAACTCATTCCGCCGCTTGCGAATTCTTTCCACCAAAATGTCTTTGTCACGGGACATTCTTTCGACCGCCTGTGTTATCAGCGCCTCACAGGCTGTAATGGCTGCCGTATTGTCCGATTGGACTTTGGCCNCCGGGCCGTCGCCAGTATCGTTTGACTGAGTCAATGAGTACAATCGAACAGCATTTTGTGCATCCAACTTTGCCTCCTCTGTCTTTCCGGTGCGTAAATAAGCCTGAGCGCGTCGATACAGAGCTTTGGCTACATCGGAACTGTTTAGGATCACGGAGCTGTGAACCAGTCCGCGAACTCGTGTGTGTTCGGCGGCCTCATCACTCACTGCCGTCACCCAACCCGGATCCAGGGTGAGAGCCTGCGAACAGTTGTCTGCGGCGAACTCGGCATTGCCCGCTTTCAGCTGACACAAGGCCAGATTTAGAAGAACGCTATTGGGAGGTTGAAAACATTGATAACAACCAATGAATTAAAGAGGAACCTTATGAAGCATGTCATTGGAAGGAGAAAATGTTATAAACATTACTGGGATTTTCAAGCAAAGAAATGCTCCTGAATTGGAAAGCACACGAAACAATGTGAATAGACTCTCATTAGGTATGTTCCCATTTTGTCAACAAACAGAGTGTAAATGCGATTGGCATGATCGCAGTTGCATTTGATGAACATCTGCTATTGAAATAGGTTTTAAAAGGTTACTCTCTCATCCGAATGGGTAGCCATGCGACAGTGACCAAAATCATCGAAAGTGCACGGTTAACGGTTGTAAAAAAACAAACTGCTTGAGTGGGGAGCAAGCAAAACGTTGATTCTGCAACATTACATTTTTGAAAACCACTTCTCATAGTCCCATTATTCACTTGTGATCATAGAATTGAAATGATGCAAATAGTGGATGGTGAATACCCAACGCCAGGTGATTCCACTCGACTCTAAAGTGGCACCCACCTAAAAGATAGGTAAACTCAGATTCGAAATGACGCGTGAAAATGATCGGATTTTTTTCAGACTGTGAAGCTACTCATTCACATTGATAATAATAATAATATTAATATTAATAATAATAGAATAAAATCAAAACATAGTCAAATCCAGTAGGCGGCTCGTGAACTACAAAAAGCATATTTGGCTATCACGTAAACAGTTTCGGTAAAGAGAGTGTAAGCAAACTATTATTGTTGACTTCATAGGCTACAACGATCCACGTAGAGTGACGCGCAAAAACCCCGGAAGACGGTGTCTTTCAACAAATCGGTTTCTTCTACAAATGCGGTACTGAAATA